GATTCCCGGGGGGTTGCGCGGCCCCAGCTCTCCTGCCCGCCCCCCGCGATCGTCCCGATCTCGAACGGACCCGATCGGGCGCCCTGCATTAGGAGGGTGCGCGGAAAGTGCGGGGAGCCGGAGCGTTGCAGCGCTCCCGGCGTACAAAAGGCTGGCGGCGGCGGCGCTGGGCTGCTTCTCACTCCTGCAGCCGCTCCAGGGCTTCGCCTGCTCGGATCGCGCACGCAGGGGCCGGGGGAGGCGCGGGCGGGGGTCCGGCCCCCGCTTCCCCCGGAGTAAACACTATTTGGAAACAGTGGCAGAAAAGATCAAAGTGAGCGCCCTGTTCCTCCCCTGCCCCGCTCCCTTCCTGCCCCCCGCACGCTCTTTTGTTTCAATCCAGGAGAAATCCGGTGAATCACCTAATTAAAACCAAGACCTGAATTAAGCATCCATTTTTGTGCTACAAATTGCCAGCTCTACGCTTGTCCCTCCCTTGGTCTCCATTAAAAAACACCAGAGACGTTGTTAAAAGGGGGGTTATTTTGCCTCTAGCTGCCAGCTCTGCTTTCTGTTTCACTGCCTCCTATCCCAGGACCGAAATTGCTTGGCTGTGTAATTACTGGAGGGAGCCTATTTAACTTAAAAGCTTTTTTTTTCCCCCAACTCTAAATGAAACTTGATGAGGGCCCGTCCTTAGTTATCAGGGGAGTCACTTTCTGGTCAGTCCTCTTGATTCATCTCTTTTAGATTTAATCAGCATTAAGGTATTGCTTGTCCTTAAGAGCTTTAGCTTAATGGGGTTACTGGATGGTTTTCTCAGTGTAACGTTTCCTTTTTTATACCTATATATTTACCGTTCAACAAAGCCTGGACTAAGGCAGCAGGGAGGCGGCTCGTGTTTTCTTTCTTGTTGGAAAGAAACCCGAAGTGATTTGAAAACGTTGGGGAACGGTTTAAAGAGGGGAAGCAGGAAATGCAGCTTCATTAGGGGTCTGGCTGGAAACTGGAACAAAAGGCAGTTCCTTGAGCAAATGCATCAGAAATCAATTTACATAAAGGTATATGATGCGTTGGGAGAAATGCGAGGCTAATGGCTTTTAGAGTGGCTCTCTGTGCAAAGTCTCGGGGTTTTTGTTACAGCTTAATTGGTGCCGTTCTGCTTTATTGCGCGGTTAGTGGACAGACGTGCGGGGGTCGGGGCGTGCGCAAGTGCAACCCGGCCTCTTCCAGGACTCTCAACTTCTTGTTCCCCGCTCGGGCCAGTGGCAGGGAAAAAGTTCGCCCTCTCCTCCCTGGAGGCACGAGCCTGAGCCCGCCCGATGCCTCGGGACGAGCACATTCGGCTTCCAAAGGACAAAGACGAAACGTGCAGCTTAATTGTCAGGCAGTAACTTGCTTGCTAGCGCGAGTGACTCGAGCAGCACTCGGAGTTTCTCGGGCTCCGGCTCGAAGGCCCCGGCGGCTGGGGCCGGAGGAGGCTCGGACCGGATTGCTCCGCCTGCGGGAAGAGGCGCTTGGCCGCGGCGGGGCCTCGAGCCCGAGCGGGAAACTTTTTTACCCCCGAGAAACAAAGCGGGAGCGCTGGAGCCGCCGCCGGGGCAGACTCGCGGGCAGGGCGGAGCGGAGGAAGTGAGCGGGCGGCTGCGGTGCAGTCGGGCCCGGCTCGCTGCGGCGGGGCCTACGGGGTCCCGGGACGCCGCCCCCAGCCCGGGCGCAGCTGCCTTTCCCCGGGCGGGGGCGGGGCGGGGTGGTCCCGGGCTCTGCGGACCTCGCGCTCGGAGTTTGACAGCGGCGTTGGCCGCGCCGCGCCCCGCACCGGGGCTGGGGGAAGCACGCACGGGGCTGGGCTGGGCTGGGCCGGGACTCCGGGCCTGCCCTTGAACAGCTTTCTCTCCCCCCTCCCTCCCTCTGCCTCTCCTTGCGCAGGCCATGGTGAACCCCGGCAGCAGCTCGCAGCCTCCCCCGGTCACCGCGGGCTCCCTCTCGTGGAAGAGATGCGCAGGCTGCGGGGGGAAGATCGCCGACCGCTTCTTGCTCTATGCCATGGACAGCTACTGGCACAGCCGGTGCCTGAAGTGTTCCTGCTGCCAGGCGCAGCTGGGCGACATCGGCACGTCCTGCTACACCAAGAGCGGCATGATCCTGTGCAGAAACGACTACATCAGGTGAGGGCGGGTGGCCTGGGGCAGGGGTGCAGATTCGCCCCCCTAGGTTGCCAGGGTGCGGCCTGGTGCCCCTCCCTGAGCCAGGCCCGGGACAGGGAGTCCATCCAGGCCCCTGTGACTTTGAAGTGGTCGGCAGCAGAAAACAAGCCCCAACTAAAAATAAACGGCAATCAGGGAGGCTGAATGCGTCTGCTTTGTTGCAGTGCTGGAGAAGTGTGCGCCTCTGAGATGGTAAACGAGGGTAGGCTTAACGAAGGCTGTGCTGGAGGTGCTAAATAATGAAATGCCTGCCTTTAGTATCTGATTAATTATGATATTTACATAAGCACCTTTAAACTCCTTTGAGTGGAAACAGAATGACTCATTCTCTGTTCCCCTTGTAAAGGAGCTGATTAACCAGCAGTTGGAGGGCCAGCCATTCTACTTGTAGCCAAAAACCCTGGTCATGTTTGTCTTCACATTGTTAGGGGGAGGCTTTGAACCCGGCAGTGCTTCAGCTTCCAGTACACAGAGCTGGGAGACTCCAAGGAGGAAGAGAGACTGGTTTTGTTTTTTTTCTTCTCTTTTGCTTAAGCAGTTCATTGAAATGCCTCAGATTAGATGCAAGACTAAGTAGGGTTTAGTTCCCCTATTGAGGTGTACAGTAAGCCAAGGCGGGAGTATCGCTTCCAACAAGCTTTGGTCCCAATTAATAGAAGGGATTCGGGAGGTCAGATGCCTGTAGGATCTTTTCAGGTGAGCTCAGGCTCCTTCAACTCATTAATTTAAAAGGAGGCAGTTTGAAGGATTACACATTTAATTTGAGTAAATGGCTTGATAGGCTGATGCATGTGAATGCTTCAAGGAAGTATTCTATTTCAACATTCAGCAATTAAAAAAAAAACAAAACAAAAAACCCAAACCCAGAAATCCTTATCTTGCTGGCTAGAAGGTATGCATAGTTGAGACCAGTTGTGTTTTTCTTTGAAAGGCTCTTGACTCTCTTTCATTTACGGTAAGCGTCAAGAGTTACCCCAGGTTTTTTTGGCGGATGGTTGCAAAGTTCTACTTTCTCCCTCATAAATCACTTGTTTGTCCATCTTGCAAGTTGGTTTCTGTTGAAACGCTTGTCTTGTAGTGGAGATTGCGAAAGAGCACTGCTGCCCTGAATTTGTAGAACACTTATCTTGGAGACATCATTAGTTTAAAATGATGGAGTAAAAGGACTTTTAGTTATTCTGATAATGCAACCTCTGTCCTGCTATGCGCAGGCATGTTCAATCAGCTAAATAGAAGAAATGCAGCTCCAGAGACATCGCAGGGGATTGCAACATTTAATTTCACTAAGTGATTTTAGAAGTAAATGTTAGAAAATCAGCAACATGGAGGCTTATAATGACGTTTCCTGGTTTCCTGGTCCCCATCCCAAGCACGACATAAGCCGCGTAGAATTCTAATTAAATAGAGCAGAACGGGGTTAAGGGGAAGAGGTTTATTTGAAGTGGAAAAATTTGACACTACTGTTCAGATGCACTGAATGGCGCAGATTCCGCGCTCGGCCAAGCCATCAAACAAACTTTCCTTTCTGATCATGGCTAATTAAAAAGAGAGGACGAGCCCACCGGATCCCCAAGGCAAGTTCAAGCAGGCTTATCCGGTTCTGTGTTGCCAAAAATTAATACTCATTTATTTGCGTGTAGGCGATCATGAATAGGCTGTTTGTCAGATGAGCGTTTTGAACTGGGCTTCTTGTGCCATCGGTGACTCCTCTCTGGATCTGGCTCATTTTGACTTGCAAACAAACCCAGCCCGCACCCCTGGAGCAGGCCCAGAGCCTGCCCTTCGCTGCTGGGACCGCTCGGCCTGGGGCTGGGTCCTGCTCCACCTGGCCCCGGCGTGGGCCTGTGCTCACCCGCGGGCACGGCTGCGTGGGCCCTGGGTGCCTGCCCGGGGGCGGCGGGAGGAGTCCCCTGCTGCAGGCCGGGTCCCGCGGGGCCGATGCGGGG